CGCCTTGTTAGATTTTTTGTAAACCTTCGGCACCATTAGTACCTATGAACCACCAAATATAACAGCACTTTTTGCAGATCGATTGGATTCGATGCGAGTGGTGGAATTTTAAATCAACATCTATGCCGTCTTCGCAGCCACTTTTGACTTCAAGGCTTCGTGGTTATGTGTGTAAATCATGTTCGTTGAGGCTACAAAAACCTCCACGACCACAAGCACCATGGCTTTCCCGAAGCATAATGAGTGAAAATGGTGGAAGAGTTCCTAAATTATCCAAAATCCAGAAATCGACACCTACACAGAGCCTCCCTTCTGGTTCAACTATCAAATATTTTGAGCAGACCCCGGATGGTGAGCGAAGGGAACTAGATGATGACCCGGACGAGGAGATGCTAAGGCAGACCGTGGAGGCCACTCTTCGAAGCTACGATGAAACGATGATGAAGAAAAGTGAGGAGTTAGGTATTTCTATCGAAGAGCTCGAAAAAAGGCATGGCATGTCCGAAGAAGAGCTTGAAGAAGGACTCGATACATTTGGTGGTGAAATGGCAGAAGAAGATCTTCATGGACATTTCTCTGGAGAAGGTTGGTCGCAACAATGGTCAACTGAGGATTTTGAAGAAATGGCATCTGCATCCGACTTTGACGGGTCTATGTCAGAGGAGTTTTTCATGAAACAAATGACAGAGCAGGAACGTGGGCAGTGGGATGAACAGGAACGCATGACTTCAGAGATGGAGGCTCAGATGAAAAAGTGGAAGGAATTGGATAATATCTCCGAAGAAGACCGGCAGGCTCTTCGCAGAGAGCTTTTGGCGGGGATAGTATATGAGGAGGATTCTCGGCAGCAGGCCGAACTGAATGGTCTGTGTTCAGCGATCTCCTTCAAGTCTTTCAAGCTAAAATGTTGGAACAGATGAATCTTCCTTTGCAATAGATCCTCCAGTAGAAGCCGCTTCCAAACAATTGAAGCAACTGCCTCAATCGGCCAAGGATAATCAGTTAACAAGTTCAGAGATCTTGTCCGGCGTTACTATCCCGAAGGATGAATTCCCAGACGAGTATAAAAAGCGTATCACTGCTCTGAACAATAGCCTGCAGAGGGCTTCTCGTCTTCTCAAGCAGAATAAATTGGGAGACAATGTTCAGAAAGAAGCTTGGCAATCGTATATGGTTTGTAGTAAGATATTGTTAAGGTCGCCAGAGAGCGTTCCAATGAATGTTTGGTCACTTCTCTGGGACATATTCGAACAACCTAACGAAAGAAATCATGGCCGAATGGAGCATATCTTTCGGCTTGGAAATGACATGAAAATTGCGAATGTGCCTTTTCGTGGTCGACAGCATGTCTTATATATTGAGGCTAGATTCATGGAAGGGGCTAGAAAGGCTGCTATCCAGGATTGGGAAAACCATAAATCGAGCTTGGGGGAAGACGCATCCACATTTCAGAGCTTCTGGATAATCGGAATCAGAATGTATAGTGAACTTGGGGACGCAAGGAAGTCACTAGCAGCTGTAGCTGAATTCCTTCAACAGTCCCAGGATGCTCAGGATTATAGGCTATTGTTACCGGTAATAAAGGCTTACTTAAACGAAGAATCACCAACAGGACTACGGACAGCCTGGGCGGCATATGAGCAACTGAAATGGCATCTTGGGTCATTGATGAGAATGGAAGATTATGATGCCGTTATCTCTCTTTTTTTGAAGGCAAATAAAACAAACCAGGCACTGCAGATTTTCACCGATATGATGCTTGCTGGAGAAAGGTACCAGAAACGGAAAAGAATAGCAGACGAGTCTGAAGTGTTCCTCGATCTAGCAAATGTGGAAAATAATGTCGAACAGCCTGTGGTATTGCCTTCAGAACTAAATAACAAGTTTTTCTTCGGAAAGTGGATCAAGAAGCTCATAGGGGACGGCGACATAGCAGGTGCAAAAAAGGTGTTTGATCTGATGAGAGAGCGTGGCATTCGCGCGGATGCTAGGCACATGAATGGTCTTATCGGGGCTCTCTATAGAAGCAAGTTCCGAGGCGACCACAGGATAGGTCATGAAATGGCCTGGCAAATGATCGAAGCCCGACTAGAGTTCGTCAAAAGACGTGATCTGTCGCTTCATTCTCGTGGGAAAGTAAGGGTTATTGCAAGCGAAAACAAGCCAGATTATATGTCCCCACTTCTGATGCCTATTGCCACAATCGAGACCTTTTCGATTCTTCTTGAGCAATATCGGCGAGGACAGAGAAAAGACGATATAGAACGGCTCTGTAGAACCCTGGAGGAAGCCCGGATTCGACCAGATACCTATTTCATGAACCAGATGATTCTCAGCGATTGGAGATCCCGCAGCACAGAAAGGACTTGGGAGATGTATCAAGACTTCGTCCGCAAATGGGTAAAGCCAGATTTCGATACGTACAACTACCTTTGGGGTGTCATGAAGAAAGCCTCTGATCCCATGACTAGAGAAGATTTTATGTTCACTACCTGCAGAGAGCTCTTTCGTAACATGATCGGTCAAGCAAAGAGCCTAACACGTAAAGAGAGTATGCCCAAGGAAGTTTATGATGCGATTCTTCTAGCCTTCAGCCTTAGAAATGATCAGGCAGGAACTGCTGTGGCATTGCGAGCTCTACAAAAGCATTTCAACATGTATCCTACCGCAGATACCGCACGAACCATAGTGCTGCAGCTTACTCGTGCGGAGTACAGAGTATCACAGTGGGAACCGAAGGCTGGAGAATCTACTAAAACAAAGTTATGGGGCCATCGACCAAGGAGACTCAATTTGAGACGTCATGAGACCACAGATAGAGTACAGCAAGTGACGAAGATATTTGCCTCCTTCAAGAAGCAACGACTAGATGCCTTGCAAGAAAGAGGAATTGTATATGAAGAATTGAGCGAGGAGGAAAAGGCCGAGGAGGCGCTTCTCTTACTTTCAGACTTACTTCGATACGCTGCCCAGGCAAGGCTGGATAGCAGTACTGATTGGGCACAACCCAAAACAGCTGATGTAAAATCACGGCAGGCAGCAGACATGATGGGCGTTCCGGACTGTGACCCGTGGGCTGAGCCTACCACTTTACAGAGCTAAACATAGGTAGGGTTGATGACCCGACATGTACCATATAATATACCCACACTGTAAAATACCTCGATATACAATTAGTGTATAGAAAAGAAGGAAAATCCCATCCCAAAGACATGCTCAGGCTTTCATTGTGCTTTATTTTTCTCTGAAAACATTGGGTATCATAACGCCGCCCATGCAAAAGTCTATAAACGCTTAATCGTGATCTTCTTCTGCAGGTCCTGGACAGCCTGCCAATTCCTTGTCTGGATAAGTATATTTGCACCAGAAGCAGTAATTGAACTCCTCTCGAAGATACTTCACAAGTTTCCCGAGTCGAACCGCTGGATCTAATGCATTGAACTCATCCAATTCAGGATCTTCTTCCTCAAGATCTTCCACCAGAACATACTGGGTCAGAGACTTTCCCATAGCTCTCTTATCGTCCGCATCCTCATTTGGGTCATCATAGGTAGGGAGCCGTGACAGACTCTGCTGCAAATCATATCGCATCCGGCGATCTCTTTCCTTTTCTTCCCTTTGCCGTATCAGACCCCGCCACAGGACATTGATCTGCTTCAATGGTTTCGTCGAAATCTTCCGTATCTTGCCCGCGTCAGTCGTCTCCTCGACATCCTTCCCTGCTTCAAAGGCCTCTGTTTCCTCTTTCTCGCCGTTCATCCGTTCGGCAACTCTCATCGCTGCAGCAACCTGCGCCTCCAACCTAATTTCCTCCCTCTCCTTCCTCACCCTCTCCCTATAATCACCCTCCTCCGCCTTTACCCTCTTTCCCGCCCTCTCCACGTCCTCCCTAAACTTCCTCTTCTTCTCCGAGTCCATCCCGATCCCACCACGATCCTCCTTCATGCTAATCCCAATCGGCTCCGTCCTTGCCCCGATATTATCTTTACTTCCCAGCGCGGACCCAGCCTTAAATCCCATTTTGGACATCATAGCCAGGCCCTTGCTCTTCGCTGCCATTTCAGGGTCTGCAAACATTGATGCAGAGAGGGCTGCTTCGCGGGCGGCTTTCTCGTCGGCTTCGCGCTCTGCTTTGGATTTGATTCGTCCTTTGGCTTCGGATTCTCGTTCTTTGCGGAGGCGGCGCTGGGTGTACGTTTCCTTCTCCTTGGGTTTATTAGGTTCCGCGATGATCATGTTCATGTAGTCGTCTTCCTCCTCCTCTTCAGCATTGGTGGTTGATAAGTCCTGTGACGGCATTTTGGAAGGAAAGAACTTTTTATATAGCGTCGCAGTGTCGTAGTCATAGAAGTATGCTCAGCGATTTTGAGAACTTCTGTAAGCTTTCTCAAGGCGAGTATAGAAATGGTGGATAAGGCGACGATTGTCCTCCAGATTTGGAAATTCCTCCAATCCCTCAGCCTGGCCAATCCCCTCACCTTTCAAAACCTCCAACTAGCTATCTAACTTAGACAAAAACGGGAATCAGATATGCACAGAATAGGTTCTACGTCCTGCCAGATTTTAGAGCCGCATCAAAATCTCGAATTGACGTTTGAAGGCAGAATTTGTAGGCGGTGAGAATGATATCAGTCCTGTTAGGGCAAGCCTAAAACTTCAAAATGCTCATTAGACGCGAGCGGTTCAATTGTTTCTGATATCTCACTCTATACTCTGCAGATCATACTTCTTAGTAGAGAAAATCCATCTATTAATGGTATATCAGTTGTGCAGATGTTGATATCTGTCTTCGATGACAACTTTTCTTAGATATGTTAAACGCGCCTAGCTGCGCTTCTAAGCGCGTGAGTGTCCAATCAAAGCTCCCGAAACACTGGAATTGTGCATCAGCCGTATGATCTGACTTAAGCACAAAACTGAATCAAACTTGCATTCTGCAAACTACTCCAGTGACGCGTAAGTTATCCGTCGCTGCCTATGAAAATATTCAAAGGCTAATATAGTTTGTAGAGTGGTTAGCGTGTCGTTCTTATATCTATCGGGAATCTGATAAATATGGCTATGCGAAAGTCGTGGGTTCGACACCCACCTGGAGTAAAACTCTAGATCTTACCAATCGCCTTTTTGACCTTTTTTTTTTTTTTGGCTAATTGTTGTCTGTTGTGACTTCTTTTCTCAAGTGACCGAGAATGGTGACTTTGCCGAGCCAAACCTCCCCATTTATGCCTAAACTTACTAGCATGCATCGAATCTTGCGAGGCAATAATTATTTTTGTATTGGACAAATCGTAGATATCGCCATGCGAAAAATTCGCTGGCAAGTTCGCATTACTTTAAATGATAAGAACGAACACAAATATGCCTGTGGCGCATCTTGTGAGTCGCCAGCATCTGGAAAGCTTTCCAAGTCAGCAGTATACATGTATAGATGTCCTCTCCCATCCACAATGCATCACACAGCTCTCAACAAGTTACATCTAAATTAGGCACATGAGCCTTCATGACACCTCTATATCTATGCATACGTGATAATACTTTTTTTTTTAATTATCCATTTATAGTCTTACTTGCAATATACCACATATCAACATACATTCGGATCGAGGGTAATAGGAAAGTTCGATCATCAAGTGAAAATTTATATTTTTTAAACCCGATTATGGAGATTTCTTCCGGCTTCTTGTCCCCATTTTCCGCGTTATGGCTCTCGCTACCGAAGTGGAAATTGCCCACACGAGCGCATCGTTGTCTAAAGGGTCAAAATTTTACGATAGGCATGATGTGATTCCAGCCCCCGAACAGCAGGAGCATAGCAAGAGGCTGAATGAAAAAGAAAATCGTGATTGATCTTGCTATATAGCGAAATATGCGTCTTATCTGCCTTTCTTAACTCCAATCAACTACCAAGTGCTTATCGCCACTGGAACCTCACGGTCTAACCCAAACGCCTTGCTGGTTTTGGATCCAACTAAATACAGGTACGTACTGATGAAAGAATAGAATACCTGAGGACTTCACAATTCAGTGTTGTGGTCAATTGCCAACTGGCTCACAATATGTAATATACTAGAACCGAAACAGAAAAGAGGAATGCAAAAGAGCAAACCTCAAATAAGCTTGAATTTGTTTTCAGAAATGGTCTGAGCATGTTCGATGAAAACAATACCAAAAATTAAAACAGGGCACTAGAGAGATTCGAACTCCTGCTCCCAAAGGAACTTCGCTAGCAACGAAACACAATAGACCACTCTACCATTGTGTCTCAAGCTTTTTCTGATATGATGTGTTCTATTGTAGTACATATTTTGTTTAAAGCTTAGGTCCGCTTTGTTTTGGGGTGTGTCCGGCAAGGAGTTGGTGGTGGTAGGAAGTGAGTCACTCGCCGAGAGTGTAGGAGCCATGAGCGAGCCAATGTGGGAATTAGTATGCATCTTGAATTTAAGAAAAGCTTGAACACGCGTCTATCGTGTTGCGAATGGCCATAGAATGATGGGCTATACTAGAGCTGGCTAACCCCTAGCAGGGACAACAGTAATGGATAATCAGTATGACAAACACAAGAAACTTTTCTGAGCTATAAGAAGTGTAGTTGAATACACGTATTGTGATCGATTTACTTTTGAAATCCTCCGCCTATAATAATGCAGCATGTCTAAAACCGGGGTATCTATCTGGTCACTCCATTTTCGATTCCGTTCAAGTTCGATCAGATAGCGTCTAATGATGGAACAGGCGGATGCTTTGCTCGATAAAAGTAATTCCAAGCTTCTCAGCGGTATCGAAAACGTACTGATCGTTTTGACTACCAGTTGGTGCAGCGATGTACTTGGCACCTGATCGGCCGGCTCGATAGACATTATCGATAAATGGGAACTGCAGAGGTTAGTAGATAAAAATAATTTACGAAATCACCACTTACAAAGGCATCACTAGAGACTGCGACTTCGGTAAGCTTGCTCAGCCACTCCTTTCTCTCTTGCTCGGTGAAAGCTGCCGGGACCTCATCGAAGAAGGACTCGTAATCTGCCCGCTCCGGACCATCCTTAGGCAGCTCTCCACTGACCAACAGGTCAATAGCATTGCTCTTGTCTGGACGCTTGGTTCCCTTTTTCCACTTAATGTTCAACACTCTCGGGTTGAACCGTAACCACCAGTTATTGGCTTTGTCACCGGCCAATCTGGTGCAGTGGATTCGTGATTGTTGCCCTGCACCGAGACCGATAATCTGGCCATTTAGAGCATAACATACGGAGTTGCTCTGTGTATATTTAAGGGCAATTGTGGCCACTGTCAAATCTCTCAGGGCAGACTCCGATAATGGAGCGGAATTCTTAGGTGTTATGATAGATGTGAAAGATTTAGGTGAGATCTGGACGTCATTTCGCCCTTGAGTCAAATTGATGCCATAAACAGTTCTCGTTTCTTGAAAAGGAGGTTGGTAGTTGGGATCCATCTGCAGAACGAGGTATTTGCCGCCCTTCTTCTTTTTCAGAATCTCAAGGGCAGCATCCTCATAACCGGCTGCAATAACACCATCAGATACTTCTCGAGAAATGATCTTTGCTGTAGGCACATCGACAACGTCACTTAGAGCAATCATGTCACCGAAACTGCTCATACGGTCTGCACCTCGGGCACGAGCATATGCTTGGGCAAGAGGCGAGTTCTCTATGCCTTCGATATCATCCACCATATAAACCTTTCTCTCATCTGCATTGAGAGGAACACCAATTGCCGCACCAGCAGGTGAAACGTGCTTGAAGCTTGCTGCTGCCGGGTGTCCTAGAGCTGCCTTTAATTCCTTTACAAGTGGCCATGCATTCAATGCATCCAGAAGATTGATGTACCCTGGTGAGCCTCCAAGAACTTTAAACGGAAGCTTAGCACCCTTCACATAGGCAGAAGCCGGCTTCTGGTGCGGATTGGCACCGTAGCGAAGGGCCAATTGCTGGACGCCTTCTCCAGCATATTGCTTTCGGAAGAAATCAGCAATTGCAGTCTCATAATCAGCCGTATGCTCGAATGCCTTCAACGCATATGCGTTCCTGCTACGCTCAGTGACATCTCCTTTCTCAAGTTCCAGCAGGAACTCTGGATAATCTGCGGGGTCACTCAGAATCGTCACTCTTGTATGGTTCTTAGCTGCGGCTCGAAGTAAGGTGACTCCTCCAATATCAATTTCCTCCACGGCTTCTGGGATAGTGACATTTATCTTGGCAACTGTATCCTTAAAAGGGTAAAGGTTGCAAATAACATAGTCTACTTTGTTGATGTTTTGTTCGGCGAGATCTTTCTCATCAGAAGCCAGGTTGCGTGCAAGAATTCCAGCATGGACCTATAATTCCATTAGTTCAACGCACCCGGAGATATGTAGGATTAGGCATTACGGCAGGGTGGAGGGTTTTGACTCTTCCGGCCAGCATTTCAGGAGCATGTGTAATTGCAGACACATCTTCCACAGCAAAGCCAGACTCACGAATCATCTTTGCTGTGCCTCCTGAAGCTAGAATCCTTACTCCCTGCTTGATCAAGCCCTTGGCAAGATCAAGCAGCCCAGTCTTGTCATAGACAGAGATGATTGCTGCTGAAAGTTAGCTGAGGCACATTCCGGCGTGTCTATAGATCGACGGCGAGATCCGGGCATACCGGTTTTTGTCGACATTTTGATCTATTTATGAGAACGGCAGGTTAGAAAAATTAGACAAGTCAAGTAGGGAAACTATTTAGAGGGCTTTTACTCACAATTGATGATGTGAATGTCAGTCAACTTTGCAATCGATTTAGTCAATCGCAACACACCTATCGCGGGGCAAGTTTTTCTCGGTGACGGCGATAGCGGGGTCATATCGATTCTAGCCGCATATGGCTAGCCTAAGAAGCCGTGAAGCGACATACAAAGTGGAAATATTTTCACGCTTCGTTTCTTTTTCTTTCAACAAATTCTTTCGAGAATTTCAACGCAAAAAACTACTTCCACAAAAAAGCGGTTGACGTGAGAAACCCGTCGCCTCGGTGATGTGAGGTTCCATGACCTCTCGACTCGTCAGATGGAAGGAGAAAGATCTGTCGACCCTGGGTGCAGTGCAAGCCTTTTCTTGATGGTTTGAAGTGCAAAGGTTGGCAGTACATTTACTGTAATGGCGTATATGCGATGTGATGAATCTGGCATCTGGATGTCATGAGGACGAGAGGATGCAGGCATGATCCGGAGATGACCACGCCCATCGCCGGGAGCTTACCTATTATGACTACAAGCCACAGCCATGAATTGAAATCTGAAAAATCAAGGTGTAAACACGCTAGTCCAGTTATCTAACATGACATGGAACTATAATTTTAACTACGGAAGTCATTCATGGTTGTTCGCGCTTGAGTGAACAGATCATCAGTGGTTTGATACAGTAGCGCTCATTGCAAAATTGCTTTTACTTACGCGACCTTTGTTCGTTAGCATCCTGGTGTACCGTTGGATCTAGAGCTCAGGCATTGGCAGAGTGCCGCGTTTCACGATACCAGAAACCTCCAAGATCGACAAAAACCGCGGGTCAATCACTTCTCCGAATGAAAGGCTTGCCTACGAAAAAGCTGAAGGTTGAAACAAAGATCATCTAAATTTTGTGGGAAGGCGATACCTTGATGTTTCTTGATTGATAGACGTGATTCAAATGGAGAAGCTCAATGGCTTCCTATACACTGTGAGCAGCAGAACAACCTTCCGGTTTCTGACCATGCTTCGGAAGTGTCCTGGTATCTTTATCCAAATGAGAACGCGACGACTATTTGATGCCAAGTATAAGCATGTGAAGCGGAAAGCGTGCTCGCATGCACACATGTAAATCTATAGAGATTGGTGGTTGGCTGAGCCTCTAAAACGCAGAAGTAATATCGCTAAAGAAACATTGGAGATCAAAGTATACATTTCGGTTGGCATACGAGCCAATCAGCAGATACCATATACATCAATGTTTCGACCAGGGTATCCCAGATCTCACAGATATCGGTCCCTTTTTCGGCACCCTCATCTCACCTCACATACAGCCATCGATCTCAAGCCAACGCTGCCCTCTCTGAAATAGTTCATGAATGAGATCAAATCGTATGTAATGTTAGGAATCGTGATAAAAGATATGTCTTATTGGAATAGGCCAGTGCTCGACATGATTTCTAGAGTGGTATACCATTAAAGGGACTATCCAACGGTATTTACGCTTCATGTAGATGTACCGTTTGATTGTGCAGGGTCAATGATAACGTAGTGACGCTAATATTCGTGGGGTCGATTGGTGTAGAGGCGGGTGTGGATGTGATATTCCCATAATCTGCAAGAAACCCAGCAGCCTCATCTCCGCCGTGGTGGGTCATTCAATATCACAAATGAGGGTGAAGTTGGCCAACAAGGCAATTCGATTGATCACTGTGCCATAGGGGATGAGGTCTGAGTGTACTTAAGAATGATTCCCTTCGTCCAACCTCAACTTTTCTTCTCCATCCACGATCACCCACACTCTTTTGACCAAATAGTACATTCGCTTTCTCTCTCCCAAACCACCCTCTTTTCAACACCTTCAACCAAATCTTCCTCTTCAAACCAAACCAAACACATTCCAACCGTCAAAATGCAATTCAACTTCATCGCTGTTGTCTTGGCTCTTGCCACCGCCGCCGCCGCTGAGAAGTGAGAAAGCCTAATTAGGAAGATGTGAAAAGGATGCTGATATCTCTCTCAAGGACCGTCACTGTTTACGCCTGCGGCGCATCCCCAACCAGCTCCGTCGCCCCAACTGGAGGTTACGCTGCTTCCACTGGCTACCCCAGCTATGTCCCATCCCCATCTGGAACTGGCGCTCCTGTCGTATGCCTTCCCAATATTCCAAGCTAGACATACACTAACATAAAAATAGCCACCCCAGCCAACCTCCAGCCCAATATACACCGGAGCCGCCTCCCTCAAGGGAGCTTCAGCTGGTGCCGTCGTCTTCGCTGCTGGTGTCGCCATGCTTTTCTAAGCATCTCAACCTAGTATCGATCCACGACGTCATGACATAAGGATGGCGTTCACATAATCTTTAATTCAGCACGCAAACTTTCGATCCTTTTCTGATATACCCTTACGGTCTGTACATGCGAGCTAGTGGGCAGACGGAAGGAGATTGAGAAGGGATGTGGTGTTGAGATGCATGATGAGCTTTGGCATCAGCATTCTCTTGTACATATGAGACTCATAGCAGGCAATTAGAGAGATCGCCAAATGAAAACTTAATA